TCTCTATTCTATTCCATTGGTCTATATGTCTGTTCTTGTGCCAGTACCAGGCAGTTCTGAGAGCAGTGGCTTTGTAATACAGCTTGATATCTGGTATTGAGATCCCACCTACTTTGTTCTTTCTCAGGATCGCTGCAGCTATTTGGGGTCGTTTTTTATTCCAGATGAATTTTGGTGAATATTCTTTTTATGATGCTCAAGAGTTCTTTGTGTGGCCTCACCAACATTCTCAAGATACTTACTGCCCATCAGTAGATGAATAGATTTTTTTTAAAAAAACTGGTATATTTACACAGTGGCATACAATGCAACTGTAAAAGAGAGGCATCTCTTAACCTGGAGACAGCATGGAGAGACCTGGAGAGTATTAATGCTAAGTGAAATAAGCCAAATAGTAAAAGACGTGTGTCACATGATGTTACTTATATATGAAATCTATGAACAAAATAAACTGACAAAATAGATCCCAGAGACATGGAAACATGCAACATACTGAGGATCCTCAAAGGGAAGGGGGCAGGAGGGAAGAGGTCAATCAAAGAACTTACATGCATATGTCATAACCCATAGACACAGACAATAATGGGATAAAGGCCTGTGGAGGGGACAGGAGTAGGGAGGAGGGGGTTAAATGGGGAGAGAGAGGGAGGGGACATCCGTAATACTTTCAGCAATAAAGATAATTTTTTTAAAAGACAAAGTGTTTTTTGAGGGACATCAAATTAGTGGGGCAAACAAAAACTTCAGTCACAGGGAGAAGCCATTCTGTCATCTGCTGACAAACCTATCAGCACTAGCTGTAGCTTTGTTTCTTTTTAGTCTCAGCTCATTCTTGCCGTAGCCTTTTGTTTACTATCTTGTCAGAGTCAGATCTGGGGAATGGCTCTGAGTGCCTGCCTGCCCAGGTGCCCTCTTGCCATAGTCCCTCAGTACAGCAGAGTTCACCTGGGTGTTTGCCTGATCCCTCTCCCCTCTCACTAAACCCTCTCTACAGGTATATGCCAACAACACCCACTTATTTGTCCTTGCCTTTTTATATGTTTATTTTAATACATTAATTATATTGTGTTTCCTGGAAGTATAATTATTAATAATATATATAAATTA